ATATGTACATATTCAAACGTTACCTAAAACATAAGAGTGACCATCAAAAATCTCGAACAATCACACACCATCAGTTATGATTCGATAAGTACAATAACTTTTTGTTCGTATGAGAATCTACTATGACTGTTTAGACACTTAATAACCAATTTGGCGAGTTTCTTCTGGTAACTATGGGCATTTGAGTCAACTTGCATACATCTTGACCAGTACCACGAGACCCTGAAGTTAACAGTTAGGTGTCGTTTATCAAACGCTTAATCGGGTAAGCGCTTACCAAGTCACTTTACTTTACAGGATGAATATGACAAGGACTATAATCTTATCCAGTAAGAGCGAAAACAAGAATCGAGAGTTTTACCCGTTAAGTGATGACAAGGACTCTTACCATAGTTAGCGCTTACCGGGATAAATTGTTGCATACGATGCGTTTTAGTAAATAATATCTTATCCGGTAAGTAAACAATAATATTGAATTTTACCGATAAATGCTTACCGGGTAGGCGTTTAGGTAAACGGCCCCTTAGACAAACCCTATAAAGGTCGTGTAATTACTTAAACTGGTAACCTATCAAAACTTTATTGGTTGATTTACATGTCACAGGTACCAATTTGACATATTTCATATTTTCAAAGCGGACAAGTTTATATGAATTTCTGAAAATTTCACGAATGTTTAACATGTTCAAAGTTACAATAAAATAAAGAAGTTGGTAAAGTGGTATGCCAACCTTCAACCTAATTATGAGGGAACTGTTTTGGACAGCAAAGACGACCCTGATAAAACAACATCGAGGTATTGTTGGATAATTTTCCGCTCTATGTTTTTGTGTTTATGTTTTCATAGAAAATGAAAAATCGAATATAAAAGGTTTCTTATATGGAACAGTCAACGAGATTTGAAATTCTGTAATTTGTCACATAGTGGCTTTTTTGATGTCTTATTTTTTGGATTTTAAGACAGATATTTAATCTTATTTATTTTTAATCCAAGTGAATTTGTTAAATGATAGTTACTTGGTTGGTTAAATGGTAATTTTTCTAAACTACAAAAGTCATGACACCTTTAACTTCATTTTATTCCTTGAAAAAATCAACATATGCTTACTAAATTTCGGCATCTGGGCGGATTATTTCTATTTATTTGTTAAGTCTTTGAAAAAATATATCAATCTTTGGTAGAGGACCAGAGAGGCTCTGGTTGACCTTTATGATTAACCAGAGGGTCTCTGGTTATGTTTAAAATATATTTTCTTTCAAGTATATAACTCATTTTATTAGTCTCCATAAGCTCTAATTAGATAGACCAGAGGCTTTGGTCGTCCAAAGGGCTTTTGGTTGGTCATGCATCTTTAGTTGATCTTAAAAGTTTGAGACCAGAAGCTCTGGTTGGTAATACCAGAGGCTCTGGTCGTCCAGGAGGGCTCTGGTTGGCTTGCCTCTAGATTGGTTTTACTTCTGGTCGATGACCAGAAGCCCATATTGATCATGTCTTGCGTTAATATTGCTTCGAGTTGGCCCAGACTTCTAGTAGCCTTTAGTGGCCTTGTTTAAGTTGGCTTTGCTCTGGTTGGTAGACCAGAGGAGCTCTGGTCTTTAAGGACCAGATGAGCTCTTGGTGGTCTCGCACAAAGTGATGCGAGAAATTGAGAATCTCGCACAGTAAAATACGAGGAACTGAGTGGTCATGCTCTATGTACTGCGATGAAGTTTTATAAATCCATATTTGATGTGATAAGTTTCAAGATATTGGATATTTGAATACAATACTTGAGTTATGTTATGTTGAATGGTTATATATATATATATATATATTTGTATAATTACAAATATGATTTTATAACATGTTTTGCTGATTTTCACCCTATAATTGCATAAAAAATGATTTTTTTTTTTTTACTAGAACTCAAGGTCTAACCCTCATTTTGTGTTTTAAAAATGTGCATTGCAGGGATAAGGGAAAGAGAAAAATATGAATTTTCCTGTTGTGCTTACATGGATTATGAAGAAGAACATGTTATTTGTTGATTTTGGAGTACTTGTTATATAAGCAAGTGATATACTAGGATGTTATGAATAAATTTGTTAGCTACTTTTGTAATGTAGCTTGTTATACCTTTTTTGGGATCGAATGTGTACTATTGTGTTTCTCGTTAAATGAAATACATGGTAATATGCAAATGTGGATCTTGGGGTGTTACATAACCCAAGGTCAAATTGGATACAATCACCAACCAACACTTATTCGGTTGAAGTTAGGTTAGGTCTAAAAAAACTCAAGACAACCCGAATAAGGTCTCATGTCCGCCTTTCAACTGATCAAGGCTATAAGCTTGGGTCTCCAAAACCCAACTACAAACTAATTTCTACAAGCGGTACGTATTGAATATGTTGTTGTAATTTCTACTTTTATTTTCCAAAAGGTTAACAATGGATATTTTCTTCTAAAATACATTCAAACTTTTAACTTTTAACCCCTCGAACCTAACCCAACACAACCCAACCTGGTTTGGACCAACTTGCATGTTCGGGTTGTGTCGGGTTTTACTTTTTAGAACAAAGTTGAATTTTTTTTCAAACCATAGTCGTTGAGTAGGGTTGTTTAAACGCCTTCAAACCTGCCGATCCAACCTAATCTATACTATATTATAATGCATTTGAAAAAAACTCTTAAAAACCATTTTTTATGCCCAAAGTACTGTTTATTGATGCATATTACTTAAAATTCAATATTATAAGTAAATTGTGCGTATGTATAACTTATTAAAGCTTCATGTTTGAATTTGTGTAACTAACTACAGATAAACATAATCAAATTATGGATAAATATCTCATTTTAAATATAAAAAATCTAAAATATATTTGGGATAATCATTGAATTCAAAATACTAAATATATATACTATATTATAAAGCATTTGACTAAAACTCTTAAAAACTCTTAAACTCTTAAAACTCTAAAACTCTTAAACCCGTTCATCCCTATCCGATTACATCCCATATCTGAATTCGTGTAACTAACTGCAGATAAACACAATCAAATACAG